AAGACAATGGTACAAGAAGTTTGATTCTTTTATGATGGGTCATGGTTATAAAAGAACAAATGCAGATCCATGTGTCTACATCAGATTATTCCCTGATGGAAACTTCATTATCCTTTTGTTATATGTTGATGATATGTTAATTTTGGGACAAGATGTAGAGGAAATTTGCAAGTTAAAAGAGGAGTTATCAAAGTCCTTTGACATGAAGGACTTGGGACCAGCAAAGCAAATTTTGGGTATAGCGATTACCCGTGATAGAAAGGCTGGGAAGTTGTGGTTATCACAGGAGAAGTATGTTGAACGGTTGCTTGAAAGGTTCAACATGAAACATGCTAAGCCAATTAGCACTCCTCTTGCAAATCACTTCAAGCTAAGTAAACGATCTTATCCAACTACCAAAGAAGAAAAGGAGAAAACGTCACCTATTCCTTATTCTTCTGCAGTCGGTTCACTGATGTATGCAATGGTATGTACACGGCCAGACATTACCCATGCTGTTGGTGTTGTGAGTAGATTCTTGTCTGATCCAGGCAAGATTCACTGGGAAGCTGTTAAGTGGATCTTCAGATATCTGAGAGGAACTACCAAGTTGTGTTTGACATTTGGGCAAACTGAACCAATTCTAAAGGGATACACAGATGCAGACATGGCAAGTGACCTTGATAATAGAAAATCTATTTTAGGGTATTTATTCACTTTTGCAGGGGGAGCTGTATCATGGCAATCAAAATTGCAGAAGTGTGTTGCCTTGTCAACAACCGAAGCTGAATACATTGCAGCTACAGAAGCTGGTAAAGAGATGCTTTGGATGCAGAGATTCCTACAAGAATTGGGATTGAAGCAAAAAGAGTATGTAGTATTTTGTGACAGCCAGAGTGCTATAGATTTGAGCAAGAATACTATGTACAATGCCCGAACAAAACATATAGATCTGAGATATCACTGGTTGCGCTTGGTGACAAAGAACAAGCAATTTCAACTTAGAAAGATTCACACAAACAACAATGTTGCTGATATGATGACAAAAGTTCTTCTCAGGGAAAAGTTTGAATATTGCACGAAGTTGGCCGGGATGGACTCCAAGTAAGGAGTCAGGATTTATATCTCCTCGCATGGGGCTAGAGGGGGAGATTGTTGGCAGAAGCTTCTAGTTCCAGCCCATTTTTTCTACCGCCTATTGCAAGAGGCTGTAAGCTACAACAGCCATTGTGGAATATTTACAATGGTTATTTCAACCATTGTAGATGAACCTCATTTAATGAGGTAGAAAACTTGCACCGGGTAGTTGGGTTTTCACCCTATAAATAGCATGCAATGGCAAGGCAATAGGCAAGCAAGCAAGAAAGCAAGAAAGAAGCCAGAGAAAGCTTCGGGAGAAAGAAAGGGGAGTGAGAGCTAGGCATTAAAAGCTTAGGTGTGAGTGTGCTCCATAGAGAAAGTACATTGAGTGATAAAATTGTGAGTTTATCAGGATTGTGATCATATCCTGGGGGAGTGGAAAACACCAAGAGGGAGAAAAATACTTGAGTGTACACTCTGTACAATTTTATCATATAATGAAATACCCTTCGGAGTTTGTCCCGTAGTTTTTTCCCTCAATAGTTTTTGGGGGTTTTTCCACGTAAAATTTGGTACTATTTTGCTTGTTTATTTTTCCGCTTAAGTGACTAGTTGAACCACCCATTTTATTTATATTTCTCAAGTGGCAGGTTGAACCGCCTATTTTATTTTGCTCGGTCGGCTAAGCCACCTTTTTTACTAACAGTTAATATTGGTCGGCTAAGCCGCCTGTTTCACCGTTTTTTATTATTATTCATGTGTTTTATTCACATGAATTCTTTTATTTCGCTGCGCCATTTTTCCCAACAAAGATGACATGAAAAGCACCTCTGGTTGTTGTTTTTCCATCGATTCAGGAATGATCAGTTGGTGCTCAAGAAAACAAGATGCAGTAGCACAATCAACCACTGAATCTGAGTGTATTGCTACTATTAATGCAGCAAATCAGGCAATTTGGATGAGAAAAGTGATGCGTGACTTGAAGCATGCTCAAAAGGAACCCACTGTGATCCTTTGTGATAACAAATCCACAATTGCCATTGTGAAAAATCCTGTATTTCACCGAAGAACCAGACATATCAAGGTGATGTATCACTCCATTAGAGAAGCTGAACATGATAATTAAATTCAATTAATTCACTGCAGTTCAGAGGAGCAGATAGCTGACATTTTTACAAAGGGGTTGCAAAAATCCAAGTTCGAGCTACTAAGAGAACAAGTTGGAATTTGCAGCCTTGGTGTCAAGGAGGAGTGATGGAAGTTACGTGGAGTAGCTTAGGTGGCAGTAGCAGTATATCAGTGCCATCAAGCTGCCCAAGTTCAGTTTGGTTTAACTGAAACTAACCAAACTGTTTTGTGTCCTTTTCTAGTCATATTTCTAGTTGGAGCCATGTGATGATGTGTATTATTTTGATGATAAAATATTGTTGTAAAAGAGCTCCCTACCTTGTATTTTTTGAATTTCAAATTTTAAACTCTTGATGTACAAATGCTGGAAAACTGAAATGGAAACTTGATTTCAGCTCTTCAATGTCTCTCTCCATTTCTTTGAGAAATAACCGAACATTCCCATTCTCATGGTGTCCGTGTTCACCTGTCTGGATCATGCCAGACACCAGGTATGCTAGCTTATTTTTTACATCATTAATATCTAATGTCAACTCAAAGGTTTCATACATATATAACTGAATATATTCTACTGTTTGATACTAATTCTATTATTAACTTTGCTTTTCTTTTAGGCTAATTGAACAAGTACGAGAGATTGATAAGCTTCCTCTGGACATGTTATGTGCAATTGGAAAGCGCCTCAAGCTACATGATTACATGAACCTTCGGTCTGTCAACACAAGGTTACGGTTGGCAGCCTCTCCAATTCAATGGAAAAGTGCAACCTTAGAAGGTCTTAAAGGTTATAATTCTCTACTCCCTTGGCTTATGCTGCATAGAAGAGGTGACAGTACTTGCAGCTTCATTAATCTGTGGGGTGAAAAATGTCTCATGGATATACCTAATAACCAACTGAAAAATGTCAAGAGGGCCTATTCAAGGGAAGGTTGGTGTCTGATGTTAGAAGAAAAACATTCCATATATCTCTGGAATCCTTTTGTAAAGAAAACCATTCAGCTTCCAGATCCACCCCATAAAGATTTCACAACTTCATGTGTCAGTTTCTCTACCTCGATTGATTGGGTTGTTTTGATTTGCCATTGCCCCGGTTATTTTTTCATTGACTACATCTTTTTGGAGGAAGGAGAATGGCATAGTCTTTGCACAGACAACATGTTCCGAATTCTCTCCGCTGATATCTTGACATTATATGATGGAGCTTTCTACACTCTTGGTTGGGAGGGGCAGCTACTCGCCATCAAAGAAACTGGAGTCAAAATTTTCAATGAGCTTAAAAGGCCTTGCTCTTCTGACAGTAGCTATTTGGTAGAATGTGATGGGGAGCTTCTGGCGGTGTTTGTAGGTTTCCTTGGAAAGAGGGTTCGAATTTTCATGTTAAATGAGCCTGAGATGATTTGGGACGAAGTTGAGAATCTAGGAAGCAATACTATTTATGTCAGCCACTATTCGTCTTTCGCTATACCAGCAACAGAAGGAATGGATAACAGAGTTTATTTCCCAGGATTCTATGGCAAGAATGCTGTCTATTATTCTCTTAGCAGCAGAAAGTTTCACGTTCATGGTACCAATAAAGTCCTAAATCGCTTTGACTACACAGAAGAATTTTATTATTGTTGGATTCAACCCAAATGGTAACAGAATGAATGTATTCTAGTTAAATATTTTCATGATTTTTAGTAATATTTAATTAGTTCTTTGAGAAGCCATGTTAATTTTGTAGCTTATGCACATTTCCTGATATATAATTTTGTTAGCTTAATCCAGTGGTAGATTCTCCATTCTCTATTTGCTTTTAGTTTTATGTTTCTGTTTTCTCCTTTTTGGCCTTCGTGTTTCTGTTTTCTATAATGGCTTAGCTTGTCTCCAAAGAGTGGAGTCAATTCATTTTAATATTGCAATGAAAATCTCATTTTAAGAAGTTTATACTTTTGGTAGATCCAATGCTCAAAAGGCAAATTTCTCATTAAGGGTCTCCACCTAGCACTTGCAATGGCAGCAATATGCCTCTAGGGGGAAGCAGAAACACAGCCCTCCTTTAGTTATAAATAAGGATGACAAGAATG